GAAAGCCCTCCAGTTTCGGTACTGTCTTGGTGCTCGAGGCTCTTTCGGGTGATCAAGGCTAAAGTAGGTTGGAACATCATTATCCGAGGCTCGAGTCGGCTTGGCTTGTGAGTCGGCTTGCTGACGGCCTCGGCCTGGTAAACTTGTTGTTGTTGCTCTACTTTGGGTTTCAACATTTGGCGGAAGGGGGCGGTGAGAGGCTTTGCTGACTGAGGTAAGCATGCCAATGACTTTGGCTCTCTCTCTCTCTCTATGGGTTCCGGTGGGCCCCACAGAACATACCTGGTGGCGCCAGCACGGGGGCGAACATGGACCCGAGCAGATCGGGGATCTCTGAGCTCTGGCGGTCCTGGAGAAGCTATCGGGCGCCGCGGCCTTCTCAGAGCGTTCCCGAACGATCCGACAGCATCCCCGGACGCTCTGAAACGATGTATCCCTGTCCTGGCCCCGCCCGCGCAAGGTCTCCGAGAGGCGGCCGAAATGCCCCCAAGAAGCCCCAAAACGCACGGCCAAATGTGCAAGATCCTTCCGGACGGTGTCCTTACGATCCGCCACCGTGCCCCCTGGCACGTTGAGGCGTGGTAGAATGGCAAGTCATGTCTGATAAGACTTCTGGTCTGTAAGTCTTTGAAGGACCGTCTCGCTGGCGCTCTCCGGGGCGTTCAAGATGGCCGAGGGACTGAGGTCTTCAAGTTGGCTCTACATTGCCTCGAGAGGCACTCAACAACGACCAGAAGAATACCAAAAGGCACCAAAGGGGCCCAGCGAGGCCTCAAGACACCCAAGACAATGCCAGGAGATTCTTTAGGCAGGCCAAGATCATCCACACGCGCGGAGTGTTCCATAAGTGCTCGAACGTCTGACTTTTCTGGGCCCCTCGGCTCAAGATAGCGGTAAGAGGGCGCATACTGAACCAAGAAGAACCTAAAAGAGCCCTATGATTAAGTCGGGCCAGTCCCTTCTACATGAGGAATATTTCAAATAGTCAAAAATAGTCTGGGGACTATTTTTCAATATGTTTGAACATGTTGGGAACATTTTTGGGGTATGTTATGTTTTTCGTCCAAAATCGGCCTGTAGGGGGACAGGCCCGACTTAACCCTATGACGGACCAAGGAAGCCTGCAAGACTGCCCAGGACGCACAAAGAGGGCCCCAAGACTGCACAAGAGTGCCCCAGGACAGCCCGAGATGGTCTCATCGTGGCCCAACAGAGCACCAAGCAGCCCCAGAGAAAACCCCGAGAACTTCCCTGACGGCCGATGGGAACACCAGACGACCGAGCACGGCCCAAGAGGGTCACGACGAGGTCCCCGAGACGACCCCACAGGAGCCCACGACAGTCACAGGACTGCCTGGGTCGGCCCCACGAGAGCCCCTCAAGGACTGGGCACTAGGGTCGAGAGGTGCCACATGCCACGGTCTCCCCGGGCGGCGATCGAAGCGTCGCCACGTGGGGCGAGTCGCTCGCACGGTGGCAGCACTTGACGTTCCGCACCAAAGTAGGCCCAAGGACCACCCCCAGGGGCCAAGACGGGCCCACACCGAGCCCCGAAGACAGGACGTGCTTGAGAGTCTTCCCTGGAGAATGGGACCACCGGGCCTTCCTGGAGAGGGGAACTCTGAAGCCCACCCGAGGCAATCTTGGGGTCCTCCCATGCCTCTGCGGGACGACGACAACCGACTTCCGCAAAATCGGTGCCGCCCCGGGGCTGCTCCGCGGTGCTGCTTTCGTTTTCCTTCGTTTGTCTTCAATCCGCCTTTGCTGCAAAACAGCATCCAAACGAAAACGCCCAACGACCTCGCCGAAACACCGTTTAGGTCGACCCCTGGCTGCGAGAGCAGACCGGGGCCTGCGATGGCAAGCCAGGGGTGTGTCGGGCCAGGGACACTCTTCGCAACCCCAGAAAGTCGCCTGAAGGCGCAGACGACAGAACTCGGTGGGGGGCCCTGGGGGCCATCCTACCCAAAGACAGCCCCCGAGACCGCCAGCAGGCCCCGAACATAGCCCCCCGCGAGGCCTCCAGGAGGCAAGGGGCCCCCGAGGAGAGCCCTCAAGAGTTCCAGGAAAGCCTCTGAGTGGCTTCTGTTCGACGTCGACACACATGTTGAGCAGGGACCGACCGTCCCGGCACTCCTTAGTTCTACCAGGAAGCGTTCTCAGAACCAAAAAAAGTTCTAAGAACAAAAACAAAGTGCTTAGAACATAAACCCGATGTGTTAAAAACAAGACGGACTCCGCCAGAAATATTCTAAGAACACTTCTTGGACACCACAAGAGGCTCTTAGAACATTGTTTGGCAGGGCTATAGGCGCGAGCCATCACGCTCCGCCACTGCTTGAGAGGGGGAATAACCTGCGGGGGAGGGGCCGGCTCAGGGGGGGCGGAGGGGGGGGACATCGAGCTCGGCTCGGCGAGACACCGCGGATGGATCGACAATAGGCCCCCAGAATAGCCAAACACCCCACGAGACTGAGCAGCGACTGAGCAGCACCACGGGAGGAGGTGGAGGAGGGGACGTCGAGCTCGAGTCGGCGATGTCTCGCGGGCGGATCGACAATACAGGGCAGTTTTTAATACATAAGATTTTTACACACATTGGACTTTAATGTATGATTAATATATGAACAAATGTATGCATTAACACATCGTTGTTTTTAGTACTAACCCCTGCATGTTTAATACATGATCCGCACGCGGAGCATGTATTACAAATGACACTGTAGGCCCCCAGTAGAACAAGAAAACACCCCACGAGACGGAGCAGCGACTGGGCAGCACCAAGGGAGGAGGTGGAGGAGGACGGCGACAACGAGGACGAGGACGAGGACGAGGACGAAGACGACGACGTCGACGACGACGACGACGACGACGACTGCGGCGTTGGCGGCGGCGGCGGCGACGACGAGGACGAGGACAACGACGATGACAACGACGACCACGACCACGACCACGATGTGAGGCGAGGCGGGAATTCGCGAAGAACCTCCGCCTGGAACTAGATCTTCAAGGACATCGGCAGGAGGCGGGCCCGTGCGCGGTCGACGCAGACGCAGCGGAACCATAGGCCGAACAAAAAGCAACTATATATATATATATATATATGTATTCACCACCTGCCGCGGTCCCGGAAGATCGATGCCCCAAAGGCGGTGGTGATGGATCAGAGCCCCCCGTCGGAGGCGTTGCGCAGGGGAGCAAGGGGGGACCGCTGGCCGCTCACGGGGTGCCGAAGAGGCGTCGTCAACGACCCGTGGCACGGCGGCGGGGCAGGCCAGGTGTGGACAGAGAGGGCCGGAGGGAAGACGGAACGAGCCGGGCCGCCTCAACTGTCACGTCGCCCAGCCGACTGCCGTCAGCACCTCGCACGGGGGAGGAGGAGCTGGGAGGGAGAGGACAGGGCAGGTGGGGTCAGGAGGACTGGGGAGGAATGATTAGGAGGAAGGACGAGGAGCGAAGAGCGAGAAGAAAGATGGGGAGGAGGATGAGGAGGAGGAGGAGGAGGAGCAGGCGGAGGAGGAGAAGGAAGAGGAGGCGGAGGAGGAGGGGGAAGGGAAGGAGGAGGAGGAGGAGGAGGAGGAGGAGGAGCAGGGGAGGGTGGGGGAGGCAGAGTGGAGGAGGGAGGATGGAGGACGAAATGCAGGACTGCAAAAAGGATACATGGTCTGCTCACAGACACAGCTCTACCACCAGGGAGAAAGAAGAAAGCCCAGTCAGCCACTCCCCTCCAGGAGTCGGCCATACTTGGGGTGCTTGCCCCCCAGCAAGCTGTTGAGGACGCTCAGCCTGCTGGGGGCCAAGCCTTTGTGGTCAGGGCAGGGGGCCCCCAAGGCCTTCCCCACCCTGACGGAGCTGTAGGCCCCGCACCGCCGACACCAGACGACCGAGGAGGGAGGAGGGAGGAGGAGGAGCAGGCGGACGCGTGTGGACGAGTGAAGAGGACGTGAGGAGGAGGAGTGAGGAGGAGTGAGAAATATAGGAGGAGGAACGAGGAGTGAGGAGTAGGGAGGAGGAAGAAAAAAAATAGTGAGGAAAAGAGACGGAGCGGGTAGAGTACACTGCCATGCCCAAATTATAGGAGGGAGAGAGAGAGAGAGAGAGACAAAGAGAGAGAGAGAGAGAGACAGAGAGAAAGAGAGAGAGAGAGATAGCGAGAGAAAACAAACAAAACACTAAAACAAACAAAAAGAAGGATGAGGAGGAGGAAGGACGGAGGCCAGAGTAAGTCCAGGATGCATCAACTAGGCTGCATCAAAGATGCTGCAACACACCCTCCAGTCCCCAGCCCTCCCCACCTAAGTCTCTACAGGCATCCCTTGTCACTGCCGAAGGCGTCCAACTGAAAGGTCAGCGGCCACGGGCATGCCAATCAGGCGACAGTATAGGCTGAAAAAGGAGCCGCCATCCATCCACAGCTGTAAGAAATACCATGAGGTCGGTTCAGAAGGCTTCCGAGCCCCACGAGAGCCCCAAGATAGCGCCACGATGTCTTAGAATGGCTCCCAGAGACACCCAAGCTTGTCATTTCGGGCGCCCTGGGTGGGGTGGAAGTTTAGACTAACTAGTGCCCCCAGTCTTGCGTTCGCGCAAGCGACAGCCAGTCGTATCATTCACAAAAAACGAACAACGAACGTAACACTGAATGAACGAGCGCGTCAAAACCACCGTCCCAACACCTCCGAACCGCCTTCAAAACGTCCTGCCGCGTGCCTGGCCTCCTTCCTGGCGAACTTCATGTGGGGATGCGTTTCCTTCTAAGAGTCTTGAGCCACGTTTCCAGCCACCCTCGAAAAGGAGGTCAAGAAGAAGGAGGGCGCGGATAACGCGGACGATGACAACTCCCGCCGCGCGCCGTGCTCTGGATGGAATGGATGAGTGCCCTCGCACCCATTCACCGCCGTGCGATAAACAAATCGCGCACGGCTGCGGTATAAAGTGGCATTTCCGTGCATGATCTACGGCATGCTCCGAAGGAAAAAAAAGGCCAGCTTGATAGCGGCCTTTCGTAGTACGGAGGCGTGCCAAGATTTGAGGCCACCAAGGCGAACCAAATCCCGTCGCAAAACAGAGCACGCGACTGCGCCTCTTTACACATGCTGTACACGTGCAGCGTTCGCCCACATCCACGCCAGCGGGTAAGCAGAACTTCTGGACACGCTCGATTGGGCCCACTGGTGGTCCAACGTCTCAATGAGTCCCTCCTTACTCCGCACAAGTCCTTGGATCCCTCGAGGGCCATGCGAAAGTTTTCTGATTCGGCGTTTCGACATTGAGCTAAAGGGGGGGAGGGGGTCTGGCTCCTGACCTCTACTTAGTACGACCGTTTGGAGCGGTGCTCCAATGGGAAATCCTATGGGGAGGCGGGGCCCCCGTGCTTACTCTAGATCTACTCCATAGGTGGGGTGTGAAGGCCTGCGCCGATCGGCAAAACGATGAGTAAGGAAACGATCATGCTGGCCGTGCTTCGTTGGCGGCGCGCACAAGGGGGTCGGGGGAAGGGGGACGGCTTCTTAGAAAGAGGCTGCTTCTTAGAAGGCGCCGGCCATGCATCTACAGGCAAGGCCCGCGCCTTCTAAGCAGCAGGGTTGCTTCTAAGAAGCCTTCCCCATACACCTGCTGGATCGACCGACGGAAGTCCCAAAAATCCCTACGCGGGCCGCAAGAGGTCCGAACCTACGGAACCGGACCGAGCCTCCTCCTGCTCCTCCTTCTCCTCCTCGCGTTTCATGGGGCCCGCTGGCGCTCCAACATCGTCGTCTCGCCATCGCTCGGACGTCCATTCCCAGTGCACGTTTCGATTGCGTGAGTGTTGTTATATTGCTCGCTCGATGACCCAGGATGCTCCTCGATGGCCCCTGCCGAGAAAAAATGCACACGCCCGGGCGATGCCAAGCCCTTCGGCACGGCCGAGCTGCGAGGACGATGACGAGCAGCGACCAGAAGCGGGGCCGCCGTGAGGCAGGCAATGCCTGCCTCCGACGGACCACGTCCACGCGGCGGCACCGCATGCCCTGATCAAAACAGGCGGGAACTGCTGCTGGTCGTCCTCATCCTCCTCCCTTTCCTGGTTCCTGGGTCCTGAGGGCGTTGGTGTCTTCAGACGCTGCCGCTTCCCCCAGGGAGGCCCCGTCGGGCCCCCCTGGGAAGAAGGACAACATCGAGAAGATTAGGGACCGAGGTCCCGCAGATCAGGAGGGAGGGGAGAAGGAGAGGCAATAACATAACATCACATCAGATCGTCATAACATCATCAGCTTAGGAATAAAAAGGATAAGAAGGTGGACCGGCAGCGTTGAGTGGGCCCTGGGGCCACGCGTCGGGCTCCTCCTCCTCCTCCTCCAGCTCCTCCTCCAGCTCCAGCTCCAGCTCCAGCTCCAGCTCCAGCTCCTCCTCCTCCTCCTCCTCCTCCAGCTCCTCCTCCTCCTCCTCCTCCTCCTCCTCCTCCTCCTCCTCCTCCTCCTCCTCCTCCTCCTTCCCCTCCTCCCCCCCCTCCTCGGGCCCATTCGCTCCGTCCCCGTTTCAACCCTCACCGAGCCTTGGACCTCGGCTCTGGGAGTGGGGGTGCGACAAGAGGGGAACAGAGACGGGCCCCAGAGGGGGGAGGAGAAGGAGGAGGAGGAGGAGGAGGAGGAGGAGGAGGAGGAGGAGGAGGAGAAGGGGGAGGAGGAGGAGGAGGGGGAGGAGGGAGGAAGGAGGAGGAAATCAGGGATGAGGAAGCGGTGGGGGGGGGATCCTCGCCCTGGAATTGGCGATGCATCGCCGACGCATCGGCGCCAGGCCCTCGACAGCGAGAGCCTGCACGCGCCCCGGGGCAGGCTGGAGGGCACCTGGGCCCCGAAGTGGCGAGCAGTGGGCGACTGGGGGGCCAATATGCCCCCCCTCCCCCCTCGGATGCCCTGCCCTGCCCCACCCCTGCCCCCCCCTCCCCCCTTCGAGGGCCATGATCCCCCCCCTCCCCCCTCCCCCCTCCCCCTCGAGGGCCCTGCCCCCGCGCCGCTCCCCCCCCCTCGAGGGCCGTGGTGCCCCCCTCGGGGCACGTGACGGGCCTCCTCTGGCCCCCGCGGCCGCCACGTGCGCGTCTGGGTGCTCGATGGGCCCTCCCCCGATCCGACCTCATGACCTGTGACCGGCACGCGAGAACGGCCAACGTCGATTGAACAAATCGGACCACATTCGGGTCGGGCGAAAGGGGGGGATAGCAAAGGGGGGGTTTGAGAATCAGCTCACGTAGCTGATTCTCCCAGCGCCTCCCGACGCCGGGAGGCGCCCATGTATCGAGGAAGGGGCCCCTCGGTGAGGCCGAAACCAGCTGCACGCAGCAAATTTCTTAACCCCCCCATTCCCAATCCCCCCCTTTCGCCCGGCCCGACACATCGGCACAGACATTAAAATCGGTCCGCGCCGGACTCGGGGCCGGGATCGAATGGGATCGGCTGCGCTCAGCTGCACGACTGCTCTGTGCAGACACCGAGGCCGCACGGGAACGCCAGACAACAAAATCGAAGGGGATCGAGCCAGGTGAACGCGGCATCGAATCGGATCGATCGGGTCGACATGGCCCCTGGCACGTGCCCGAAGGATCCCTGGAATCCGGGAGACGTGCCTGAGCACCTCGGGCCCGCTCGTGCACCGCCACCGCTGCACTCTGGGCATGACTTTTACGTCCTCCTGAGCCTCTCTGGTCCGAGAGCTCGTCCCCTGGATCTGTGAGTCTGCGATCTTAGCTACCGCTCGTACGCACAGTCGACCCGTAAGGATGCAAGGGCCTTGGAAGGCCGTTTCGAAGCTTTCCGAGCGGGGCGCGGCCAGCGAAAGCGGCCAATGATGGGCCGAAGAGAAGGATGCACAGGTAACCCTGGAAAATCGCTCATCCTTACTATACGGATTGATGACCTCTGGGTGCTCAACCGTTCTGGCTGGCCTGGGCTGTAACCGAATCCCGTGCGACCCCAGAAAGACAAGATAAGAAGTCAGACGCCAGGCGTCTCCTCGCCTTCCTCTTGCCGCACTGCAGTCGGACCTAGGACAGAAGAGCATCCTTCAAGATAACAAGGGGCCCGGGGACACACAAATAGATAGGCACAAATCCCATGAGTTCCTGATGTTCACATATGTTCTGGGTTTTCGTCTTCCCCCCCACTGTCCATGGTTTCCCATCTCTTCCTGGGAATCGACGGTTCACTGTGCCTGCATGTTTGCTTCCACTCCTGAAGAGAGGTCAGGCGCCTGGCCTCTCCTCGCACTCCTCTTGCCGCTCTGCAGGTCGGACCCAGGACAGAACAACATGCTTCAAGAACATGAGGCCCTCCGCTTGCCAGGGCACACAGAACATCCTAGGGTGCGTTCCCCAGGATGTACGAGAACATCCAACAAGCGCGGAAAACACTGGGGTACCCTCCCCGAGCCAACGTCGATCCGATCTAGTATTACCTCGATCCGATCGTGACCCTTCGCCTGCCAGAGCACGCAGAACATCCCGGGGTACCCTCCCCAAGGGGGCACGAGAACGGCTGCTCTGCAACAGTTGAGATTGGGCCGTCCACCCACTGCATCTTGACACGCTGCTTCTCCTTCTCCTGCTGCTCCGTCCTCCTCCCTCCTATGAGGGGACCCTGGGACACACAGATCAAGACACACAAATGAATATCTCCCCCATATGTTCCTATATCTTCCGGGTTTCTGTCTCCCCCCCCACTTCCCATACTTTCCCATATGTTCTGGGGAATCGAGGATTGTTTGTGTCTGTGTGCTTTTTTTCCTCTCCTGATCCTAGGCTAGGGCTCCCAACTTCGCGCTTCGCGCTGCGCGAAGCGCGAAGCGCGAATAACTTCGCGCTCTCGCGCCGCCCTCCCAAAGGGAGAATAGGAGGACGAGGAGGAGGGGGAGAAGGAACGAGGACCGCGAAGCGCGAATAACTTCGCGCCCTCGAGGGAGCCCTTGCTAGGGCACCCCTGGGCACACGACCACCGTGCCGCGCGCCACGCGCCGCGCGCCGCGCGCCGGCGTCCCGCAACCTCGAGCCCGCAGCGCAGCGGCTGCTCCTGCCACGCCCCCGACCACCCTATAGGGGGGGCCGCCCAGTCCTGTTCACGCATGCTCCTCACGCTTGACGGGGTCCAGGGACACAAGCAAATGCACACACAAACCCCAGGATTCCCCATATCATATCCTTTCATGTGTTCTGGATCTTCGTTTTCCCCCCACTTCCCATAGCTTCCCCATGTTTCCGAAGGAATCGACAATGATGTGTGTCTGTGTGTGTGTGTTTTCCCCTCCTGATCCTCACACTGCGCAGCTCCCGCCCCGAGCTTGAAGAAGCTCCCCAGCTGCGTCAACAGGCTAAGTGGACGCCTCCTGGATAGAGTCCGAGTCGATGGGGTCGCAAGATCACGCCGCATCGCTAGTGCATCGGCGATGCGTCGGCGATGCATCAGCGATGCTTCGCCGGCGCATCGGCCGGCGACGTCGGCGTGGAGACCATTCGGGCTCCACGCCGAGCTGCATCGCCGAGGCATCGGCGATGCGGCACGATCCTTCGACCTCATCTGACCCGACGCCATCTGGGAGGCCCAGACTCAGACAAGAGGCCCTTCTGAATCCAAAACCAGGTGTTGCATGGAACCTTCGGACTTCCACCAAACCCTGGTTGTGGAACTCCTGACCTTTGAAGTCAAACAAACCCTGCCCCGGCCCCTCTCGGGTCGGGCGAAAGGGGGGGATAGCAAAGGGGGGGTTTGAGAATCAGCTCGCGTAGCTGATTTCCCCGGCGCCTCCCGGCGCCGGGAGGCGCCCATGTATCGAGGAATGGGCCCGGCGGTGAGGCCGAAATCAGCTGCATGCAGCAAATTTCGTAACCCCCCCTTTCCCAATCCCCCCCTTTCGCCCGACCCGACCTTTGAAGTCAAACAAACCCTGCCCCGGCCCCTCGCACGGCGCCCCCCCCCCCCCGGGCGCGCGGCGCACCGCGCAGCGACGCCTCCAGGTCGGCGTGGAAGGTCGCCTCCGCGGCGGGCGGGCGGGGGAGGCGGGCGGGCGGGGGGACGCGAGCACCCGCGGGGGGGACGGGAGGCCGCCGCCGCCTCCGGCTGCGGTCAGGGCGGCCTCCTGCCCCCCCGGGCGAAAGTGAGAAGGCTACGGGGCGTGAAAACGACCACAGACACTGCCTTTCTTTTGTCGTCGCCTCCCAGCCCGCAGAAACCAAGCAGTGGTCGTGGTCGTTTTCGTTGCGCTTGGCACCAGGGAGATGACCGCAACCACTGCTTCTTTTTCGGCCGGCTGGAAGGCGGCGCAAACAAGAAGCAGTGGCTGTGGTCATGTTCCCGTCCCGCAGAAGGGGCGGGCCTGGGAGCATTTTTTTGTGGGGGGAAAGGGACGCGCAACGCCGATGACCAACGTCCGCCCTGGCTCTGCTCGGTGCGCCGCCTGGCAGAAGACGCAGCTCGGAGAGGACATCGCGCCGGAAGATGGAGGCGGACTGCAGATCGCCCACAAGCCGGGGAGGAGGAAGGATCGGCGGCGAGCCCTGAGGAAGAGAGAAGGGGCGGGCCTTCTCTCAGGAGGCTCGGAAGTCCCCCGGCCTTCTGGCAAGTGTTCTGGGCCTTCCCCGAAGTCGCCGGAAACTTCTCAGAAAGGCGCGGGGGGCTTCTGAAAAGCCCCGCCGCCTTCCGAGAAGGCCCTCTACTTCTCGCTTCCCCCCCTCGCTCGCCGCCGACAGGAGGGAGGAGGAAGGGGGTGGGGGAAAGAGGGAGGGCAGCAGGGGAGGAGGGGACGAGGAGAGGAAAAGCTCATTTTGGGGGGGGAGGGAACCCTGAGATCCGACGTAGAGGAAAACATGATAACATCGTCCAACATCACACCTGGCAAAAGGGTGAGGGGGAGGAGAAAAAGGCCCAGGGCCCGACAAAAGGGCGAAAACGCCCGGCTCGAGAAGGGTGAGCCGCCAGGATCTCGGGGGAAAAAGGGCGGGTGCACGGATTCCTATGTGGCCGTAGGCGAACCGAGGAGGATGAGGTGGAGGAGGAGGAGGAGGAGGAGGAGGAGGAGGAGGTGGAGCAGGGGGAGTAGGAGGAGGAGGAGGAGGAGGAGGAGGAGGAGGAGGTCCGCTGCGTTTTTCTTGCCGCATCAGCGAGAATCCTAGCCGCGTTCCAATGCTAACGTGGGACGCGCGTGGCTGCATCAGGCACGGCGGGCGGCGGGAGGGGGAGCGCGCGGGGAGAGGGAAGGACACGATCGGAACGTGCAGTCCTTGTGAGGGAGTGCCGGAGGGCATGCACAGCTCGAGAGGAAGTCGCGGAGGAAGTCAGCTCGACAGGGCATGTCCTGCCCTCCTTGTGAGTGAGTGCCAGAGGGAAGTCTTTGAGGAGCGGAACTCGACATAGAGAAAAAACCCGATGCAGGGCGTTGTCGGGAAAGAAAGGGCGGCCAAGAGAGTGCGGAGGCTGAGAGCAGAATCAGGAAAGCCTCTGCGCATGACGCCACAGCACAAACTTGGCGATGACCAGCAGCCCACGGCGGCAGGAGGAGGAGGAGGAGGTCATGGCGGGCCCTCCACACCATGGGGCCGAGGCGATGACGGCCAGGCAGGGTCAACAAACAATGGGGCTGTAAGGGACGGGCACAGAAGAGTCCGAGCGCAGGGAGGCGCAGCCCCGGAGGCACCGCGGCACAAAACGAGCGCGGCAATATGCAAACCACCAGGGCAAGGAAGGATCATCGAAGATCGCGTCGCCCAGATACGTGGAGTAGGGGATGGCAAAAAGGCAGAAACACAAAAAAAAACGGAGGTCTGCGCGGATTCCTTGGATCCGCGCCGGCCCCCCTCCCTGGCGCGCGGCGCTGATCCGAGAAGGGGGGCCCGGCGCCGATCCGAGAAAGCCGCGCGGACGCCCGAGCTTTTTTTTGATTGAAGGGGCCCTGGGACACACAAATAGATACACACAAATAACAGGATTCCCCATATTTTGCAATATTTTCTGGGTTTTTGCCTTCCCCCCAACACTTCCCATATTTTCCCATATTTTCCTGGGGGTCGACGACGAAATGTGTCTGTGTGCTTGTTTCCCTCCCGATGGATGTTTTTATGCCCCTTCCCCGTTCCTTTCTGACGGCAGCAAAACCGCGCCGGGCAGCGCCGCGCAGCCTGCAGCGCTGGGGGCGTGCCGCCGCAAAGGGGAGGCCGCGCGGGGCCGCGGAGGCAGCAGGGTCGGCGAGACGTAAGACCCGGGTACGGGGGACTCGGAAATCCCCGACGAGGTCGTCAAAAAAATGACGAGGCCGAGCCTGAATTTTGACGAGGCCTCCCGCTGCAGACATCCCACGAAACTCCTCCTCGTCAAAATCCGAGTCGCGGTCGTCAAAAAACGATGGCGAACCCGAGTCCCGGCAAACCCGGGTCTTACGCTCCCCCGACAGGGGCGCGCGGGCGCGGAGGAGCCCTCGCGGGCGGTCGGGCACGGCGCGGCGGCCCGCGCAGGGGCGAAGGGACCCACAAGCACACGAATAGATGCACACAAATCACAGGATTCCCCAGATTTTCCCATGGATTCTGGGTTTTTGCCTTCCCCCCCACTTCCCATAGTTTCCCATATTTTCCCGCCCGTGTGCTTTCTGTTGCCTCCTGAAGAGGGGCGGGCGAGGAGACGGGGGTAAAAGTGAGGGTGGGACCCCCCTTTGGCAGCTGGGGTGGCCATGGTTGACGGCACTCCTGCTCGTTGCAGATGCGGCAGCACCCATCAGAGTGCTCGTGGCGAGGCCTGGAACCCTTGGTGCCTGTGGCACGCGACGGCGGGACCTCGATGCGATGCTTAGGTCGGGCATGCCCCCCTACAGGTGTTTTTTGGAGGGACCAAACGAGTTTAAACCAAAAACAACACGCCAAAAATATCCTCGAGATACACATCATATTCAAAAATCGTCCCCAGACTTGTTTTTTCCGTATTTTCGAATCCTCCTCCTGTAGAGAGACACGCCCGATTTGCGCTATGGGGGAGATCCTGGAGGTCTCGCGCGGCAACTGGAGACCCGATTCACGTCGGGTCCACGTCGGATTTCCGTCGGGTTCCCGTCAGACTACATCGGATTTACGTCGGCCTTGCGTCGGGCTGACGATGGAGCATCGCCGCGCAAGCGTCGACCCATAAACGTGTGGACCAGATACTACAACTATCACGCGCCGCGCGAGGTTTCCAGAATTTTCCTCCGAATCGATGGAATGGAGTTTCGGGGCACCGCAGCGCCAGGCAACGGTCAGCTCGAATGAGCCAAGACGGCAGCGGAAGCAATCTCAGTTGCAACTCTGCCCTGTCTCTCACGGCCCGCCGGGCGCTGGAAGGGCCCCACCGCGATTCTACAGTCACTCTGGTCACAGGTTCCCGGGGCCACCAATCCTGGTCCTCCAGACTACGCTCCCCGAAACTGTAAGCAAGCAAGCAGAGTGACGGTCGAGGCTGCGCAGGCTCTCCCTCGGTCGGAGAATGGATCGCGCCACAGTCAAAACGCAAGGAACATGTCACGAACGTCGGCGTCCACGCGGCGCAATAATGAAGGGGCCCTGGGACACACAAAGAAATACACACAAATAATAGGATTCCCCATATTCTGCCATATTTTCTGGGTGTTTGTCTTCCCCCCAACACTTCCCATATTTTCCCATATTTTCCTGGGGGTCGACGACGATGAATTGTGTCTGTGTGCTTTTTCCCCTCCTGGAACAACGCCCTGGGCGCTGGGCGCTGTAGCCGCGTGCTCGGGGGGGCAGGCTCTGCCCGCCCAGGGCGCGCCTGCTGCCGAGAAATGCGTTCTTGACGTGAGCCTTCGCTCTACAGGCCAGTTTTTTGATACAGAATCGTCCTCAAGGATCCTCAAGAATCCTGGGATAGAAAAACAGCCCGCCGCTGGTAGTGTACATGTTCCAGTTTCCGACATTCCACGAACTGCCAGCCGAGGGCCACGCCGAGGGCCACGCCGAGGGCCACGCCGGGGGCCACGCCGAGGGCCACGCCGAGGGCCACGCCGCGGCCCCGACGTAGGGCGGGGCGCACTGGCAGGTCCAACTGCCAGCGACGAGCGTCACGAGGACAGCCCGCTCCGCGGCGCCCTCCGTCGAGCCGTCGGACGCGCCAGTCTGTGGCGCCAGCCCGTCGCAATGCAGAGACCTCGACCGAATACCTGCCGTACCCATTTCGGCTGCACGCAAAGAGTGCCCCTGGGTAAGAGTGACCTTTGGTGCGCTGCTTTTTGGCGGCCGCGGGGGGGGGCAAACACCAGCGCGCAAGACGCTGCTATCGCGCCTCGCGCTCGGCGATCGGGGGGGCCCCCAGTGGGCCTGCACCAAAGGGTCGCTCCGGCGAAGGGTCACACACTTGCGCGTAGCCGACCACTGGGCGCGGCGTGACGTGCGCCCCTCGGCCGGCATGCAACCTGCCTCGGCGGCAGATGCTGGCGAAAAAGCGGGCTGCGCATCAGCGCGCGCAGGGAGCTCCGGAGCCGGGGCGAGAGGCCGCCGCGGGCGCCGTCCGCCGCGCGGCGCGGCACCTCTCGCGGCCCAGCGGGCCGAGCCGCACCCCGGCCAGGGAGAGCTCCAAGCTGGAGCAGGCAGTCCCGCGGAGCGCTGGGCCGGCGGAGCGGAGCCCTGCTCCCCGAGCGCCCCCTCGCGACGCGCGCGCCGGCTTGCCGCTGTGGCGCCCCAGCGCGCTGCGAGGCGCCCGCGACGGAGCTGCGGCCTGGCGCTCCACCGAGAAGCAGGCCGCGCCCCACCGCGGCGAGATCTACATCATCGGGCCACTCGCCAGAAAGCCGCATCGCCGGCCGCCACAAGACGAAGTGGAAGCTCCAACGCCTGCGACCAAATCGCCACTGACGCGTTCTTCATGCACCGCGAGAGCCAGTTGCTCCGTTTCACGCGCCCGACCCCGGGGTCCTTCGCATGGCGCGGCAAACCAGGAGCGTGAATGCAAACGGGTGCTCAGTGAGGGGCACTGCTGCGCGATTTGGTCTGGCGGA